AAGACACCGGAACAAGGGGTGCGATATTTATGCTCAGAATGTTATCAGCAAAAATGCAGAAGGAGGTGTACCTGTGTTTTATGGATTAGGCAATGGTGTTCGACAAAGTACGCCACAAAGACCTGTAAGAGCTGTTCGGCAATCTTGACATATTCGGGAAAAACATTAAAATAATCAAGAATCTATACTGGCAGCCAACCGCCTGCATTCGAAGAGAAAATAAGTTCAGCAGATATAAGAAAATAGAAAAGGGTGTAAGACAAGGTTGTTTCTTCTCACCGGATTTATTCAACTTATACATCGAGGCAATTCTGAGAGAATTAGAAGGTCTAACAGGATTCATTATTGGAAGCCACGATCTTAACAATATATGTAGATGACGCAGTGTTGATAGCAGACATGGAAAGGAAACTACAAAACCTCCCACAGAATGGTAGCGAAAGAGAGTGAGAAGAATGGACTAAGTATAAACTACAAGAAGACAGAATGCATGGTTATCAGCAAAAGGGTGAGTCCAAAATCTAAATTACAGATCAGGGATACTAAAATCAAGCAAGTACATAAATTTAAATATCTGAGAAGTGTTCTAACAGAGAAAGGAAACTGACACTGAGATTCGAAGACGTATTGGGATGGCCAAAGATACATTCCAAAAGCTAAGCAGAGAGCTAAGAGACAGAAAAATTATGGTTAGAAACAAAGAAAAGAGTACTGAACTGTTACGTGATATCTATTCTCTTGTATGGAAGCGAATGCTGGACAGTCTCCTCAAAGATGAAGAAGAGACTTGAAGCAACAGAAATATGTTTCTATAGAAAGATACTGAGGATACAATGGGCCGAACATGTGAGCAAGGACAAGGTTTTGGAGAGAATGGAGACGAAGAGGAAACGAGTACTTAACGTCAGGAAGAGGCAGTTGAAATTTCTGGGGCACGTAATGAGGAAGGAGGGCTTGGAAAATCTGATACTCACAGGATAGATAGAGGGAAAGAGGAACAGATGAAAGCAGTGTGTAACATACTTGATGGGCTTGAGGAAATGGATGTCGGAACAGGATTTGGGAGAATTAACAAAAAGACAAAACCTATTAAGAGTAACAAGAGAATGGAGGGAAATAAAAGAAAACTAGGCTGGTGTCAAGTTCTCAACAATTTACACTTCAACTGTCTAGATGTAACCATAAATTCTATGCTAACAGTTTTTCTTTCTCTCACTTCTCACCTGTTTTTACTATTTTTATAAATGATAATTTTCAAATAAATTTAATGTTCAAAAATTAAAGGCAATGTCAATCGCTTATACTGTCCTCCTGATTACTCTTTTGTTCTCGCTCATTAGTAATGTTTCTGTTTCTAATTCTTCCACAGCCAGTAACCCGTTGTATCTTAGTGAATTTACTGCCTTTGTATGGGGTGAAATCAATATATATATATATATATATATATATATATATATATATATATATATATATATTTGGTTGGATTGATGTGAGTTTGTGACCCTGGGTTTCATTTGCTTTTGCGATCGTCAGACAAACAAATTTTTTTAAATTTTTGTAGATTGCGTGTATTGGTGTTATTATGGGAGTGGGGGGAATCGTCGTCGTGATGTCATCGTGCTAACGCAAACATAGATGCATGTTCATACGCCCGATGAGGTACGCAGACAGACATACACACTTGCTCGTCCGTCGGGACTCATACAGATATAAACATATGTGGACAGTTTCGGATTTGACATATGTATGTATATGGGTGGTGTTGTGTCTATACATACGCATTTGTATGTTGAAATTCAAAGATTGGAAGTGTAAAGAAAATTTATCGTGAATGTATACATGTCAAAATCAGAGCATTTTTTTATTTTTTCCACTGAATAATATTTCCTCGCATGTATGTATATACGTGTGGTGGGGTCTGTGTAAAATTATGATAGGTAAAAATTATTATTATTTTTTAATTTTAAAAAAAAAATTTATTTTATATTTTAAAGCTGGTTATTTGCTTGTTTTTTTTTTTGACTGTGTATATGTAACTGGTAGAAATTTCAGTTTGTAATCCTTATTGGTTATTTTGTATGGTGGTATTTAATATGCTGGGGAGGGGTAGTTTACGTTAATAATTATAGCGGGTTTATTTGATAATAGTAGATGTGATGTGATAGTAATGTTGTAAGGGGATTGGAGGCAATGATAATATAAGCGGCTAATAGTTATTGTAAATTGGTAGAAGTGATTAGTAATGGTGGTGGGAGAATAATAAAAAACAATAAATGTAATTATTGCGGTGCTAGCTTGAACTAAAGAGTGATTGTTGGTATTTTATTTTATTATATTTTCTATATTTATTTATTTTGGTATAAATCCTGGTAATAAGTATTTATTCTCATGCCTTTGGAAATTATCTCAGATCTTATTGTTTTTTGTTGTTTTTTTTTTGTTTTTTTTTGTTTTTTGTGGTATTAAATATGCTGGGGAGTAATTTATATTAATGATTATTTAAACTATTTATATGTTAATAGTAGATGTTTATATGGTATAATGGTGTTGGGTGTTGGTGGTAATGATAGTATTAGTAATTAATATTTATTGTAAAGTAGTAGAAGTTTTACTAATGATAGTGCAATGATAATAACGATAAATGTAATTATTGTGATGGTAAATTTTGAACTAAAGAGTGATTGTTGGTGGTTTGTCTTTTTTTTTTTTTTTTTTTCCGTTTGGTATAAATTCGGATAATAGGTATTTGTTCTCATAAATACATTTGGAGATTATCTCTGATTTTGTTTAGTAAATTCTTTTGCGGTATGTTTATATTATTGCTACTTTTTCGTGTAGGCAAAGAAGGAATTTTTTTTTATAAAAAAAATTTTAGGCAGGAGATTTTTTCAATACTTTCCAACTTATTGTTGGTGCGATATTTATAATTTTTTTTGCTGCCATATGTATGTGGACAGAAATATTGCTGTTCTTCCAATTTCCTGTTGGAGAATCAAAGGTTGGTTTTTTGTTATTCCTTTCTTGAATGGACCTTTAAATGGCAAATGTAGTACATTATGTTGTTGTTTGCATAGTAAATTGGCCTTTATATATTTATATTCGTAAGTTGGCAATTTCCCTGGAGTGGATATGTTCTTCTATTTCTGCAGTTGCATTTTTTTGATCCTTGGTTTCATTTTTTTAAAATCATTTTTTTTGTTGTGGCTTTTTTTATTTCTGTTATGAAC